TCATGTCGATCATTTGGCACCACTGCAACGGTTCATTAACTTGGCGAGTTGTTTGCAGTCTGTTGTCGTCTGTGGGGCATTGATGATTGTAACTAGTGTGTGGACTCCGGCATGAATTTAGGGGACTTGCAGCGGCTTGGAGCTGTTTTGGCTCCGCTTCGACTCCGTTTGCCGCCGCCGCGAATTATGCGGGACGTTGTGTGCATCGTCTACAATCTGGCTGGAGAAGTTATTCACACCGGAACATCTCCAAGCGTCGAGCAGGCTTTGCAGAAAGCTCAGGCTGCATGCAGCGGCGTAGCTCTTGTCCCATATGCAAGGCCCTTCGAATTGAGCGCACATCAGTGGTTGCTGGAGTTGCAGGCCAGCAACCCCAGCGGCGTGATTGACTTACTTGCCATCCGCATGAAGAAAAGAATGACGAGCACCTATGAGTGCCTCGTCAAAAGAGGGTTGCAGTGGCCAACGTACGTTGTCAGGATTGGCGACGCAATCCTGGCATGGCAGGGCACGGGCTACACGACTTGGGGCTGCGAACGTTGCGGTGGTAAGGCTGTCAATATTGTCCGATGGCTGACGTTGGGTAGTAAGGTTTTTGCCAACCGCGGTGCTTGGGTTGCCCTCCAAATTGACGGCACCGTGCTTTGTTGGGGGCTTCCCGAAGCCGGAGGCAACATACCACCAAGCATAAAGCAGCAATTGTGGGGCATCAAAGATATCCAGCAAACAGAGTTCGCCTTCGCAGCGCTAAGAATAGATGGCGTGGTTCTCACCTGGGGCCGACATGACCGTGGAGGCCGGATGGGGAAGAAGCTTCAAGAGCAACTGCGCCATGTACTTTTCATTTCGGCCAGCGACAAGTATTTCGCCGCTGCAACACGGGATGCAGTCGTGATGTGGAAAGATGAAAATCATGTACAGTGGTTCCAAGGAGTCAGAGCTAGCAAGCTGGTGCCAACGACGAGTGCCTTTGCTGCCATGTGCAACAACGATGACGGCAGCGAAAAGGTCGTAATACTGGGAGATGCTGGTTGCCACTGGGGCGACCGTGCCGGGCAACATGAAGTGCTCAATGCAGTTGATGTGCTGACTACTCACGATGCCTTTGCCATCATCACCGCGGAAGGCATCGAGACACTTGGCCGGAAGGCCATGGGGGGAGAATGCCCCAACGAAGTGAAGCAAAGGTTGACATCGATGTCCAGGCCTTGCAGAATCCTCTCGAATCCCTTTGCTTTTACTATTGCCGGCAGAAACCATCAAACCGGCAATCTCTCTCTAGAAACCTGGGGGCACCAGGACTATGGCGGTGACAGCAGACAAGTCCGAAACGTTCTCAGCAACGTGCAGAGCATCGATCTTTGTGAGAATACCTGTGGTGCATTTGCAGTCATAGTGGTTGTCAACGGGGCCCGGCAGCTGGTGACGTGGGGTCACCAAGATTTCGGTGGAAACTGGCGAACTGCTTTGGATGCAGTGTCCAAGGCAGATCAGGTTGACGAGGGACAACTTTCAAGAATGTTGGCCGAAGCAGCTGCTCTCCATGCCAACTCAGAAAGCTTTTGTGTGGTCCTGGGTGATGGCACTGTGTGGTGTTGGGGAAGCTCATTGTGCACAAAAGGCTTCGCCAATGCCAAGCAGCGGATCGACGAAGAGGGTGCGGTAGAGGTCCTAAGTTCTGCAAAGGCTTTTACAGTTGTCACTAGCAAAGGCAGCCGAATTTCTTGGGGCGATGAGCAAAGCGGAGCCCAGTACTAGCAAATGGAAGCGATCAGCAATGCTTTGTACAGGTTTGTCATTGTGCTGCGGGCATTGAGCTCCCACTCCTAGCTGAGCCCGGCCTGCAGCCGTCTTCCAACAGCATCCGATTGATGCCCATGCCACCGAATAGGTGTCTGACACTGGGGGGTCGATCTGAAAGTCTGGGCGCTATTTGCACCCTCAAATATGTCACATGCGCCATCAATCAGACCTTATAAGCTGGTCCAGAATTCAGATTAGCCCCTCGCTGATGCTTGCATCAGATGCTTAGGAATTTAAGTCGAATGCTTGAGCAAGAGAAAAGAGGTGGCATTTTTTTTATAGACATTGGAATTTCGATTGGGATATAGCATGCACCATGCCGATCCAGAAACGTGCAACCGAGCCTCAAGAGCCTTTAAGGCGCCTTTAGCACGCCTCTGGTGCCGAGTTCAGCTTCCAGCACGTTTGAAATCCGGTGTAAATGCTGTTAAAATGCTTCCAAGGAACGGAGAACCTCGATGCCTGCAAAGACACGCTTTCATTCAAGATGTGCACGTAGCAACACCCAGCACCCAAATCAGCCCCGAGCGTGCACGTGTGCGCGCGTGGTGCGACAGAAAAACAAGAGTTCCACACAGTAATGTGACGTGATGACCCCATTTGTGGGAGCCATGTGCTTTTAATGGCAAACCTACATTTGGATCCGGCTTCAAAGATTGTTGAGGCGGCCTGGTTGCGATCTCCTGGAAAGATCGGACAGCATGGGTCGCCCGTGTGAAAAATTGCAAACAGCTTGCCTTTTTTCTGCAAGCCACATATGTGCTGACTTACTGCTTACATCTTGCGTGCAATGTGAGAAGTTTTCTGCTGCTGTTCGTACTTGGTGTAGATGACACTTCAAACTCGAAGTTTTGCGATGGCAGCAAGTAGTTTTGCAGATGAACATAGTGAATCAATCGGCACCATTTTGCCAAAGCCGGGAAGCCACGTGTGTCAAGCGGAGGAAACCATAATCCCTGTTGACTGACGATGGGCAACATCTTGGTTCAAACGGTTGGAAGATGGAAACGTCGGATTTTATATCCCGCCTTCCACATCCTCGTCGTGATGTGATGTTGGGTTGTTTTTTCAACAAATTACTTGGGGCGTGCATGAAGTTGTTTGATGTTTATCCGCTTTCACTTTGAAATACCTGGTAACATGTTTCTCTTCTCACGTGTGACCAGTGTTGGTTCTCAACCCAGGATGACACATAACACTGCACGTGCAATGTCAGCTGTTGGCTATGGTGTGGCTTTTATGGTCATGCTTGTGGGCATGGACAGCTACGCGTACAGTGCGCAGAGCGGGACCGAGGAGGTGGATGCACTGAAGTCCGAGAATGTGAGGTACAAGGAAGGCAGGGTGTTTAAACTTTAAACAGTGTTTATGTTTTTGTGAGATTTAGATCGGACTTGCTTGAGTTGTGTCGACACAGCGACCGAAGGTTGGTTTACTTCAGCATGCCCCGGTGATTTGGTGGTGCGCTTGCAATCGTCAACAAGGAAAGTCTCACAACCATTGCATCTGGAGCTTGAGATTCTCAACATTTGCCAGGCCTGCTTGTCTTTTTGTTGCATGCAGATCAAGAGCGCGATTGTGCAATGCTTGTTGCGGCTTTGTTTAGCGCAGCTGCAGGGGTGCTTCGCCCGCATCCCAGAGAAGTCTAAACTGTTGGTTGGGGACTATGGTGCTGAGCGTCCCCATTTTGCAAGAGTTGACACTTGCCGGCGTTGGCAAATTTGTGTGCAACTCGCTCCGTTTCGTTGTCAAGAGTTATTCGCATGTGTACAGCCGGGTGGCATCTCTGTAAGTTTGTCCGGATGTTGAGGTTCGTTTTAGATTCTGACTGGAGTGAGGCAGTGCAGCTTGCCAACGAGATCACCTGTCCTGGAAGTGCCACCGTCAGCGTTGAGCTGAAACCGTTGCTTGGTTACACTTGGCCTTTGCTCTTTGTTTTTGTAGCACTCGCTTTTGTGGAAGCATTTGTCCTTATTTTAAGGGAATCCTACTATTTGGGGGGCTATATTTTGGGTCCATTTTTTTCGTAAGCCCCCCACATGACAACCTGAGCATTCTGCTTATGAGCAAGTGGCAAACATGTCTTTCAAACCATGAGAGATTCCAATGTCAGCCGAGGAAGACGAGCAGCAACAAGATCGCAAACTTGCCGGCCAAGCTGGAAGTTCTGATCCTGGACCCGCGTGGAAACGAGCACCCTTGGGGCTCCGCGATCGTCGACTTCCCATATCATGCGTATCGCCCGGTGTTTCGAACGGGCAAGAGACGCTACAACTTGCTGGTTGTGGGATTCCCCGGGGCTGGTAAAACCACTTACATCACGAGCCTCTCCTCTGCCCTTTCAGCCAGCAACGATCAGAGGTTGCCACGCGATGTGGGACAAGGCCGCGGCCACAACACGAAAGCCATCACCAAGTACGATCTCTCGAATCTTCTTGACGATAAGTCCGTCGGCTTCAGCTTTTGGGATACGTGGGGCATCTGTGAGGGAGAGACGTGTCAATTCCGGGACTTCTCAGAAGAGTTCCTACGGAACTTGACAGATGGCAAAGTCCCTGACGGCTTTCATCTCAAAGAGTATGATGCGCAAAATGGCGTCTTCCACGACGTTCGTGACCATGTGCTTTTCACCGAAGCTCATCGCATGCACGGAGTCCTGTTCTTCATGAGATATGAACATGCCATCCGGGAACCAGAGAAGACACTGGCGAAAAAATATGTCACGAAGATCGCTGAACTCGGCTATGCTACCATGGTCATTCTGACATGGATGCACAAAGCATGTGGAACCAACAACACACAAGCCTGCGAAGACGATCGTGTTGCAAAGGTTGCAAAGGCCTTGGACATTCCATCGAGCAGCATCTTTCCATTTACTCGCGGAAGCGTGACGCTGTCGGGCTACAAGGACTCTGCAGTACCGTAGATGGAGTTGGCAAAAAGCTCAGTTCTTGTGCCTCTTAAGTCTGGAGTGTTGTTTTGTTCTTTTGATCCGACGACATGAGCTTAGATCAGGTGAGCAAGTATGCGTTGCAGATCTTGCAGACGGCTATGGACAATGCTAATGAGCACTTCTCCAAGTCCATGGAGATTGCACATCAGAAAGCCCTGAAAGAACAAGCCGAAAAGGAAGCACGAGAGCAGGCAGATCGAAAAGAAGCGGAGAGGATGGTCGGAAGAGGTCCCCAACCCGGGGACACAGTTCGTGCAGTGTTGGAGCAAATCAGCGAGCTCTGGAATTTCAGTTCTGAAGATGCAATTCTCATGAGAAGTGTGGCATGGCTGATCGCGTTTCTGCTGGTGCTCGTCTTCAGAGGAACTTATGGGCCACTTCGTGTAAGCGTTGATGACCTGCCAGAGTGGCGCCGCCGCGAAGTTCATGTAGACATGTGGCTGAGGGTGCTTCTGGCTTTGCTGTTTGTGGGCCTGGCAGCCGTCATCTTCCTTCCGGAAGTGAAAGCAGGTTTGATTCCTTCGCAGTGGGAAGTGCATTCCAGCCGCGACTGCTCAAGCGACTCTCTTCGTCTGGAGGGTGTGGCGTATGTGATGCGGAGGATCTCGGAAGAAGAGTGCCGAGCGCAGTGCCACGAGCGCTCAGATTGCTCCTTTGCATCCTGGAGTTCAAGCACCTGCACTTTGTACTCCCAATGCCAGTTTGTCTCCCGGAGTCAGTTCAAGCTGTTTCAGAAGAGGCACTCGGATGCCAAAGTGCAGCTGGGCCCGCTCCTCCTCTCCAATTTGCTGGTCTTGCTCTTTCCATCGATCTCTGGTATTGGCGTCTGTTCGGTCGTTGTGTCGCTCGTTGCTTGGTTTTCCTTCATGGGCTCATTCGGCGAATCTGGCGAGGCTGCTGGGGCTTCTTGGGCTTCGGAGGCTGCCGGGGCTGTTGCCTTACATGCCGTGGCGCTGGCGTTGCAGTTTGCCTCGCACTGGCAGCTCCAGGAGCGGAGGGATCGGAAAGCAGTAACGTTCCCTTATGTTCACGCCATGACATGCAGGAGCGGAAATCACACGTGGAGAAGGATGAACTGAACAAAGATGATAGGCGGGAGCAGGTTGTTCATGCCTCCTTTTGCTCTGATGTTCAAAGGGACATGTCAACGGGGAGCATGGCTCCCGTTCGCCAAGACAGAAAGAACCCCACGAGCTGAGCCCTACTTCAAAGGCTTTCAGCCCCCACCCTAAACTACGGCCTAAAACCCAAACCGAAGTCCCACACGTTGAGCCTTGAATGCGACATCCTGCTTCGGCCAATCTTCTGTACGACTCTGGTCTAGCCCAAATCCCAAAGAAGAATGCACGCTGTGGTGCCCCACAAGGCTTGTTGTTTTCACAACGAATTCGCGGGCCAAGCAAGTGTGAGATCACAAAAAAGTTGAGAAAAGTGGCGTTTGGCGCCATCTCTGCCAGGCAGAAGGAAATTGAGCGGAAGCTTTGGAAGGAGGCTGGAGTCTTGAGAAGAAAAGCGTTCATTGTTTTTGCCGTTGTCTTGCTCCAACCAGGGTTCCCTTCACAAGCAAAAAGAGAGAAGCAGACCCCTCTCTTGTCTCCGTTGGAAAAGGTTCGTGGCTGGGGCAAGACGGCGATGCGGAAGAGTCGGCAGATAGTCATCACGGATCTTCTCGTCAGCCTGGTTATTCTGAGCATCCTCAGCCTGCTCATTGTCCAGGGGGCCTTCGCTGCCTCCGGGCACAACTCTTTCAATATCCTCAACTTTTTATCTCAGGCGCTCGTTGGCGTCGACGCAAATCTTGCAATGAGGGCACTCTGGCTTGTGGTGGCCGTCTGTTTCTCTGCAAAGCCTGCTATCCTCGCCCTTCACAAGTTCGAGCGCGGGCCACCTGCCCTTACAGTCATTTCCACGTATATGGGCCGGTCGTACAGTGTGCCATCACAAGCAGTTCGCTGAAGAGCCTTTACTCCCCTAGAGAAGGATCTTTTGCACAGCCTGCCTGTATGGTTCCATCTAAGAGGATTCGCATGCTGCATCTGCAAAATTAGCCCTTCGGGTTTCTTCACAGCTCTTCTCAGTCCTTGGGTTGCCACAGCTAAGGTTTCGGGGTTTGGCCTGCAATCCTTTGGACGAAATGACCAATGCCATGGAGTCTGTTGCGGACAGGGCATGGGAGATTGAGCAATTGCTCGACCACGAAACAAAGGGACCTGCCCTGGAAGACGACAACGGGAACGCTGCAGCGGTGGCTGTGAGGGATGGAGCTGCTTCTGGCGCTTCGCAGGATTTTCGGATCGTCAAAGCGGGGGTTCTGAACAGGGCGAAGCAGCATTTGCAGACCTATGCGAGCCAACTTCAAACAGACCCCACTGCCTCTTTTGACCGAGATGATGTATTGACAGAGCTGGCCAAAGCAACGCAAGATGCTGGTGCTACTGCAGGAGGTGCCGCCTTTGACGTTTGCAAAAAAGTCGCCTTCGCTGTGTCCGGTGGCTGGAATCTCGGCATGCGGAGAGCCCGACACCCATGCCTCCCCACGCGCCCTCCTCCAAACTAATTAAACCCCGCACCCCAACCCCCAAACCCCAAACCCTAAACCCTGAACACTAAACCCTAAGAAGCCCGAAGCCTTACAGAGTCAGGATCGGAGTGGCTGCGTCTGTTGGTGCAACGATGGCATCCCATGGGTCCGCTGGCTCGGGCAATGCCGAGGAGGCCCTGGCTTCATTTACTGTAGTTCAGCTGCTGGTCGTTGTCGCACAAATCGCCTGACTTACTGCCAAGTACCTATCATTGTGACATAGCGCTCCCAGATTGCTGTGGCACTTCGGGCTGGGTCGTGGTGTAAGCTGGGTGTTGCAGATTGCTGCAGCAGAAAGAGAGTCAGGCTTTTCCCGGCCAGGTTCCTTCACAGCAGGCTTCTGGCGTTCTCAGTGTCGCAGACGCCGGAGAGGGCTCGGTACAGCAGCGTCCCGGGAGACGGCTACCTGGCTGCGGCTTTCAGGGTTGTTTTGAGCGTTCAAATGTATATGCACGAGTCATTCGGTTTTCTGTTTCTGGTCGACAAAGCCAGGAAGCAAGCAAGTCCGGTGGATTGACCTTGAAAATTGCCACAAACTGCGGAAGTGCCAGATATGACGAGGTACAGTCCAAACCAGTCAGAGGCGTTGGAGGAGAGTGGCCGCAGAACACGATCAGAGAGAGCGTACCACACGGAGACAGCCATCGAGCAGCTATCCGTGATCAGGGCTACCACAGGACCATGGCCATGTGGATGGTGGGGAGGCAAAGGCAGCACAAGGAAATCTCGGGTGTTTCAAGTCTCTGAGGCTAATGAAGATGGCGCGGAGGCTTCCAAGCGCGCCGTCTCCACCAGTCGCAAACGCGTTCCCCAGAAAAAAACGCTTTCTGCTGTTGCAATCTTACGCAGAGACCCCTGGTGGTTGACACTGTAGCAGAGCTTGTGTGATTGCAGCCATTTGGCCCTCAACTTACACAATGGAAGAACTTCTCATTGTTTAAAGGCAAGACTTGGCAAGAGGCTTCCAAGTTCCCAGAATGTCTTAACAGGAACGAGAGGACCCCAAAATCCGAGAAGAGTCCTCGGCCATGGACAGAGAGAGCCGAAGCGAAGAGCAGACCTCGCTCGGTGGCCTGCCATGCCAAGATGCCAACCTCAGTTTTCTAAACTTCCCTACTAGTAGGCTCTAAGCTTGGCCTAAGCCCTACGTAGTTTTCTGCCGATCAAGCTCGTGCCTCTTAGCGCAGCCCAGGCTCGCAGCATCGGTTCCAGTCGCCGGACCCTTCCAAAGCGATACTCCATGAGCCCCAGCAGCCTGGCCCGCCTGAGAGGGCGGCATCTTCCTCGCCAAGGCAAGAGTTCATGCGAGCGCAAGCTACTCCAGCACGATGTGCACAGCCAGAAGTTTTGAAAACCTTGCGCAGGTCGGCAGTCGCTGAGGAGCCTGCGTCAAGGGCGAGCCTTGAGGAGGAAGGCGCAGACGCGTGCCAAGAGGGTGCCGCCGGCGCTTCTACGTGCCCGCCAAGCTCAGAGGCAAAGCCTGAAGAGGCGGAAGTAGAGGTAAAAAACGAGGTAAAGAAGGTTCAAAGACCTGCGCCCAAGCGCCTACAGCCTGGTGCCCTGGTTGGCGCAGTGCTGACCGCAGTGTCGGTAGTGGTCGCTGCATTCTCTGCGATAGTTCAACTGGTGACGCCGGCGCATCTTCCACCCATACACCTGCACTTCCAACACACAGCCCGGGACCATCTTCCTGCGGACATTTCGCGCGACCAGGTGCTTGAGTTCATTCGCTCAAAGTCAAGTTACCCAGAGAGGTGGCAGATACTGGATGAACGAACTTTGGGGAGCGATGCCCAAGAAGTTGCAGGACCCATCGTGTATGCGACCACCTCTACATCTACCCGCTGGGAGGAGACCCTCTTTGTCGAGCGCCAGTTCAGGCTACTCCAAAAGAGGGTCCGCGCATTGCTTTTGATCCGCGTGGCCCCACCTGAGCAGTGTGCAGACCGGGAGGAGCGCGATGGTGTCGAGGAGTTCATCTCAGACTCTTGGCTTCGACTTGATTTTGGTTCGAAGTTCAGTTCAGCCGTTTGTCCGACCCTATAGCACCGTTTCTTTGTGCGAAGCGCCTCATCTCGCCACCGCAATCAGCCTAAGAGAGTCTAGGTGCATGCAGTGTTTCTTGGGCCCTTTAGCATCGCGTAAAGCCGTAAAGCAAGGACCATGACACCTACCGGCACTTCCGAAATTTCACCGACCCGGTGTGGATTTGCTCCTGGGATGGGGCGCTCAACGAGGATGCTGAGATGAGGAGATCCCTCAAGCGCCTGGACAAGGCGCTCCTGTCCCAATAGGCCCAAGAAAGAAATGCAGGAGGAGGAGGAGGAGGAGGAGGCCCCAAGAGGTTTTGCCTCAAGGGCCCCTTGCAGCACAGCCTGAGAGCCCAGCGAGCGCAAAAGATTGAGGAGACTTCAGTGCCTGGCTCCTTCACTCGGATGTGCAGGTACTCAAAGCATTGGCGCGCCTTCCAATTAGAGTGTTGAGCCTCGCCGTGGTTTCCCTTGTCAAGCACAGGTGAGTTATGTCGAAGAGAAGCATCTGCGCGGGTAGATTACTGAACTGCACGGGACAAGCACCGTAGTCACTTCTGATTCCTGGCTTTTCTCATCCCCAATGATAACTGTCGGGGGTGTTTCGGCAAGTGGTGCAGACATGTCCCTGCCTGCAACATGTCATCATCTTCCTTGCGGCGTGCTGGCCCTCTGCGAGCACGGCACTTTTCAAAGGCGTGTCGGACGCCAGGCCCTCAGAGCGACCCCAAGCAGTACTGGGTACCACGTTCCCCCAGCTTCTGCCCAAATAGCTTGGGCCGGAAATGACAATTCTGTATGAGCCTACCATCCGGCCAGATGTTGCCAGCGTACTGTTTGCATAGTATTGTCGACAGCAATGCCCAGATTGGGTGAGGAGGGCAAGAGTCACCTGTATCCTTGTCACGGCAAAGCCAAGCTGCCTTGCTCCTGGTGTGTGCGTTTTCAAGTTCAAGCCCTAGCAAAGTATTTGGCGAAGTTTTTGTGTTTGCTTTCCCGGTAGTATCGGCGGCAGCAAGATAATGCTTCTGGTTTAGAGTTTCAAAAGCCAATGTACGTTCGGAGTCAGCAGCAACTTGACGATTTGCTGAGGATGTTTCACGAATTTCGTGTTCCTCCACCAGTGGCCCTCACCATCAACCAGCGCGCCAGACTTAAGGAGGTTAAGGGGTTCATACTTGGCGCCATGAGCTCATGGCTGCACTGTCAATCGAGCTGCAACAAGGCAAGGATTGGCCTTTGACAGACTTGGGGCGGAGCCCCTTCGCCGGCCCCTCAGCAGGAACACCGCGCGGGAGGACCAGTCTTTTTTTCTTGTCTTCTTGGCGTCGAGGCGCAGGCCGGCAACGTCAGCGGCTTGAATAGCTGGTGCCTGAGCAAGTTGGAAGGATTCCGGGAAGTCCGACAGGAGCTGTAGGACCTGTAGGAAAGCCTGCGACTTGGGACTCCTTTCCGGGCTCAGGCTTGGAGCTTGCGAGACATGCGGAACGGCTGCTTCAGCGTGGGTGTCACGCGCGTGGCTGCAGGCGCCTCGCATCGACATGACAAGCCGAGTTTGGGGGAGATTGAGCATTGTTGAACATCTAAAACTTTAGGTCTGACAGCCGAGGAGCAGGTGCGGCGCTTCTGCCCTTAAACACAACCCTCATGTACACGTGATGGCCAGGCGAGTGGGCCGCGATTGCTTCACGCTTTGCCGAGCTTTCTTCAGAGATGGCACCTCGGTTGCAAGGGACGTCGATTCTCGCCCTGGCCTCTGACACAGCCTTTCAAGCTCGGCCTTCAAAGTCAGCATTCTAGGGCAGACCTGGGGATCCCGGGGGAGTTAGCAGTTAGCACAAGTAACATGAAGATCTCCGCCCAGGATGTGGATTTGAGTATACGACTGCTGCCGGGGCCCCATGTCGTAGGCACATGCGGCTGGAACGCTGTTGGCCTCTGTTCTGCAAGGCGGTGCCTGGCTCGGGCAAAGTTCAGGGACAGAGACGCGCTGCAGCTGGTGGTGCATCGCCTGAGCTGTGTAAATTTTCTGTAACAAGATGTCGTTCGTGTATGTTGCAGCCTGCCACCTTCCGTTTAGTTCACACATGGGATGAGCTGTCGATCAGCGAAGCTAAAAGACTTGGCAAGTACTTGGAAGATTATGGAAGGTTCGCAACCTGTCGAGTGTTGGAAGAACGCCTTCCAATCTGTCGTGTTGAGCTCGGTGTTTCTTTAGACGTGTGAGCTGGGACTCTGACATCTGCCGTGTTCGCACATGTTGGTTAAAGTTGAGTCATGCCGCCTTGCCAGGTGCTTGTCATCAGCTCTGCTCGCTTTGCGCGAAGCCTTGGGGGAAGAGGCCCCACATGATGAGACTTGCCAAGCAGCGGCCGTCAAAATTTCACTATCATTTCGTGTCTTATCGCCCTCAAAACTTGGAGTTCGTGCTTGTTTTGTTGAACACGAGTCAGAAGACTGGGCATCGCAAAGTGGAAGACCCAAGTGCTCCGAATGGATACGGTCTAGATGCACAAAGCCGCACCTCGTGCACTGATGGAAGTGCTCCTTGTCTTTGAATACCACGCACGGTCCAGAGAGCTTGCTCTTTCCACAGGAGGTGCAGACGATGTTTCGAAGGCGTGCCATTGCTTCTTGAGGGGTTTGTGGAGTTCTCTTGTTTTTTATTTTCATATTTTTGTTGCATTTTTGGATGCTCTCCCCCTTTCCTGACAAGGCTCGAAGACCGAGCTCTCGAACACAGCAAGGAGGTGCCTGCATTCTTCGCAGCGGTCATTTTTCAAACAGTATTAAGATGCGTCGAGTTGTGCATTCTCTCTCTCTCTCTCTGTGGAAAATTTTGGCAGAAGGGTTGCCTTTTGTTCGGCGCTCTTTTGCGCCACCCGTGCGTTCCGCAGTATTGTTCCTTCGAGGCCTGGGGTCTCAGTGCCCCGATGATGCTCGCCAATTTGGTTGGCCAGCGCCTCGGTAAATCTCCGGACTTTGTGTGGCCCCGTGTTTCGGGATGTTTGTCAGACATTCCGAGCACCTTCCTAGCATCCTAAGGAGCGTCGTCCTTTGCACAGGCAGAGCCTGGCTGGAGACTGGCACCCAGATCACCGAGTTTGCTGCGGCTTTCTTCTCGTGTCGGGCCGACTTCTCGTGTCGGAGTGAGGTGCCACGAGAAGCCTGTTGGTGGGTGCGGTGGCCGGCCATGCTAGCAGGAGAGTCCCAACGGTTTGCACATGTCTACGGCTTCCTGAGCTGAGACCTTGCAGAGTGTCGGCGACGGGTGCAGGATGGGACCGATGCACCTGGAAATCTCCGCGTACGCATGCGCTCGGCTCCACAGGAGATGCGCAGCCAAACCTAAGAGGTTGCCGAGAATTTTCTTCCTGAACAGCGAAAGCAAGAATTGAAGAATCCTAGAGTATCCTAGACCCCCACTCCACGCCCCGCAGAATCCCCTGAGTCCGGCCTCAGAAAGCCCCTTTCAAAAGGCCCCTGTACGAAAGGCCCCCCGGCCCCCACCAAAGGAAAGGTACGGAGCGCTTTCAAGAGGGCCCCCCCCCCCCAAAAAAGGGCCCTCTTTCAGGAGCTGCAGGGATCCCGCCGGCCTTCAGCAACTTTTGGAGGCTGCGAGGTGCCCAGTGACCTTTGGATTGGGTCGGTTTGTGGTTCCAATTGGGGTGGGATCTTGGGGTTTGGATGGCGGAGGAATGGGGCTTGTTTTGTAAGAGGGCGTGAGGAAGCTTCAGAAGCGTTTTTTGGGGGTCTGGGATGCTTGCAGATCAGGCTGCGGCCCTGCTAGATCGCGGAACGAGCCGCCCGCCTCCCAGCTGTCAAAATTCTTGCTTCAGGCCATTGCATATGGATTGTTTCGCGATGCCGGGCGGATAAAAACATCCGTAGTTTAAACACATCTGCTCAGTGTGCCCGCGCCATGCCCCGTGCCTTCGGCCTTCCAGCGGCACCTAGGTGAAACACGGTTCTTGCCCCGAGGCCTGCCAACGCCTCAGGCCTTCAAGCGAGAGAGGTGTGCAGAGGTGTACAAGACGGGGCAGCGCAGCTGTTGTGTTCTCTCTCCAAAAACATATAATTATAAGTGTCGTGTGATGAGGCTCAACTTTTTCGTGGCCTTGGAGCGGATTCTGGGACCCTCCAAGGCCTGACGCTGAGTTCAGGTGGCATGCGTGCGCTGCGCCTGCCAACCTTGAGGTCTCCGATTTGGCGCTGCTGGCAGCCCAGGTATCAGGTCGTATTAGCAGGTCACGCACGATTTCACAGAGTCGCTGGTGAGCCTTTCTCGTCAAGGGGGTTGCCGAAGGTCGGTGGCCCAGCGCCTGCAGCGGTGCGTGCCGGAAGACTTGGAAGGCTGTAGTGGGGGCGACAGATACCGTGTGATGCTTAGAGCTCCCCGGGCCCCAGAGCCGGTTTGGCTTCGTGCTGTTTGCCATCTGTTGCCATTAGTCAAGATAGTCAAGGTGCGGCTCTGTGCCTCCTGCGTGCTGGCAGCGTGGTCCGCGAAGAGATCCAAGAGGATAGGAGCACTGGCCTGGTGGCCGTGAGTGCGCAGGAGAGATGGGGGTCCAAAACACGCCAGCACAAGACCTTCACAATACATGGGCGATACGAGCTCAAGACGCTTCTCCGGTTGTCAGAGGCACTGGCTGTTCTCCTGGCGAAGAACTCTGGCTGTGGCCTGCCGTCCTCGGCGTGGAGGGCGCTGGCATCGAGGTCTGGGCGGTCATACAAGCCCACGAGAGCTGTCTTGAACAGCAAGTCTTTAAGCTGCAAGCAAGGCTTCAGGGGTCCTCCAGCAAGCCCTCAGGTCTTGTGGCTTTCATTTGAGGGGGGGGCCTCCCTAGGAGTCAGGACCCTGAGGGCGGCACTAACGAGGCGTTGCCTCGGATGAGCACCTGCCTCCCGGCCTTCCCCTCCGCCGCAAGAGTGACAGTGCCTGAGGACTTGCCTCCTTTTCGTGTTCTGTGGGTATTGCTGACCCTTTACAATTTGCGGCCGCTGCAGTATTCTCAGTTCACGCCTGTTGTCCTTGGACTTCTCTGGCTCCTGAACCCATGTGATTCTCCCTTGCATGCTCTCGGCTCTCCCACTCTCTTGGGGACCTCTGTGAAAAGTCTTGACGGGATTCTTGCTTCACAGCCGCTTCCTTTTTTTTTTTGCCCGCCATTATTCGCCAGGGAGAATATATGCGTGCGCTGCGGACCACGTCCCACGGGTTGCGTGCGCTGCTAGCCACGTCCCCTCCTGGAGAGCGCGTGCGCCGCATGCCACGTCCCGCGGGGTGCGTGTGTCGCATGCCACGTTCATTCTTTAAGAGTTTAATTTTTTTTGTTGCTTCCTTCTTTCGGTCCACTTTCGCGTTGCGAATGTGCGTTGGCTCTCCTTTTGAAATCCCTGCTGTTCTCTTCTTCTCGCCTGTCATGTGGTTTCAGGAGGGAATGCGTGCGCTGTGGACCACGTCCTACGGGTTGCGTGCGCTGCTAGCCACGTCCCCTCCTGGGGAGCGCGTGTGCTGCATGCCACGTCCCGTGGGGTGCGTGCGTCGCGTGCCACGTCCATTTTTTTTGTTTCTTCTGTTTTTTTTCTCTCCCTCTTTTCTTTCCCTCTCCCGGTCATAAGCTTTCGCATTTGAGCGAACTGGCATTGGCTCATCCTAGCCATAGTGTATTGCATGCTTTGCTGCGGCAGTGAAAGGGGAGGTAGCCAAGTGATGGGGCCGCGGCTTTAAGCTAGTCAACCATTTACTTGGCTGCCTCTCCCCTGGCTTCTTGCTGGGTTGGTCGTATGATGATAGTTGTGTAGGGGGTGGGGCCGCGGCCTTGTGCCAGTCATCCTCCCCTGTCACATTCGGTTTGGGGAAGGTTGGCGGGCGCCGGGGCCGCGGCTTCGTGCCAGTCAACCGGTCGCCCGCCTTCCTCTCCCTGCGTGGTGCACTTACAGTCTTGGGGGTGGGGCCGCGGACCTGTGCTAGTCAACCGCCCCCTAATGGCCAGGCAGTCCGAGCTGCGCTTGCAGCTAATGCCCATGTGACGGTCGCTTTGCTTGTTCAGTTTCTCGGTTCAACGTGCCACCTCTGTCTCCCTTCCGCCTTGTGTTTTGAGCTCCGCCCCTTGTCCAGATGTTTGTGCCCGCCTGGGTCCTTCATGAGCGGCTGTGCGGTTGGGCGATTGCGTGGTTGCGCGGTTGTGCTGGTGTCCGGTTGTACGGTCGTGCGCAAGTGCAGTGGTGCGCTTGTGCAGTAGCGCGGTTGCGTAGTTGGGCGGCTGTGCTTGTGCGGCTGTACAAGTGTGTGGTGGTGCGGTTTGAGGTTGTGCAGATGTGCGAAGGCCGGTGCAAGGTTGCGCGGTTTAAGTTGTGCGGTTGTGCGGCTGTGGTTGTGCGTTGGTGCCTTCTGTGTTTGCGTGGCGGATGGCCCCGGCCCCGGGTCGCCAGTGGCGCCTCCCTAGGGTGCCGACAGCCTTGCTAGTCTGTCATTGGCTGTTGGCGTCTCTTTGGCTGCTCCCCGGAGCTTCCCCGCTCCTGCAGCCTTGTTATTGCCCGGTCCTGCATCACTAAGCGGTTTTCACACACGTGCATGCTTCCCCGTTGAACCCGGTTGCTCCCCGGCGCCGCCCGGTACGCCTGCAACCTGTGCTGCATCAACCTGGCGAGCTACTGCAGAGGGCCACTTCCCTTCTCTACCTTAAGTGTAGTCCTAGCTCGTGTGCTTGCCCAGTGGGGCTTCGGTTTTCCCTTTTTCCGGTTGTTTTTCAGGGTTCTCCCTCCTTACTTGGCAAGGGTTTGCCCTGCTTGACCCCCTGTCCCCAGCTGCTCCCCGGCTCCTCCCCGCCTTCAGCCTTGGTGCCCCCCTTGTGACTACCGTTGTTTGTCTGATTGCCTCTGTTGGCTGCTCCGGCGATACCAAGCGCCTGCAGCCTTGGCCGCAATCGGGCCTGCTTCTACATCGAGCGGGAATTACCATATTCGCTCTCGTGGTCCCCGTTGACCGGTTGCCCGGTGCACCTGCAACCTGTACACTGTTTCAGCTCGGCGTCCCCCGTCCCCTGACAGTCTCTGTCGGTTGTGGGTCGTCGCAGTCATTTATACACTGGTGTTAAGTGAGGGCGTCGAGTTTGGATCTCGTTCACCGCCAAGTTGCGTTGCAGTGGGTTCCCCTCTTTTCTTGTCCTGCTGGCTTCCCCGCTGCCCCCGGTTGCCCCCGGCGCCTCCGGTGCGCCTGCAGCCTTTGCCAGCTTTGGTGTCTCCTGTTACACGACTCTGCAACGTGTGTGGGAGTTTTTACAGCAAGGTGCCAAATACCTAATCAGGCCATCAGATCCCTGTTGCAGGCCCCGTCACATGTTGCTGTCCAAGCACGGGCCCGGAGCCCCTTGGTCTGTGCAGGCTCCCTGTCGCAGCTCAGGGTTTGCGTCCCTTGGAGCAAGGTGTCCCTTCCTGCCCAGGCCTGGCTTACTTAGTGTCTATGGTGTGCCATCCGGTGTTCTGCCTGCATGTCTGCGGCGTGTGCGCTGCGTCAGCTCTCCCCTTCCCGTGTTCGTGATGGGCGCGGCATCGTTCCTTTTTCTTTTTTTTATCTCTTTTTTCTCCGCCTCCCCCTTCGGGTTGGTTCGGTGGGTTCTTGGTGTCCTGTGCTCGTGCCCTGATTGGTTCAGTCGTCTCCCGTGCCTTGGTCTGCACTATGACTAAACCCCCTCTTGAACTCTCCGCGGAGGGCGGCGATGACGCCTGCGGAGCCGCCCCGAGATGTGGGGGGGGAAGAGTGCGGGCGGCTGCAGCAATAATAACGCTGCTAGCCATTCTCCCTCCCTCCCTCCCTCCCTCCCTCCCTCCAGCAAGCCCATACTTACTTACGCTGCAGGTATACGGCCCGACTGCCAACGCGGCACGCGAAAGTGCTTAAACATTCAGGGTCGCAAGTGTTGTTGTGGTCAGAGCTCTGCCCTTGCCGAGTAGCGGATGTGTAGGAGTCATCGGAAGGAAGCTTCCAAAAGTCTCACCACAGGGTCGGTCCCTGGGGGTCCCACAGCATTTCAGGGGCTTCGTAGGATGCAGGGGTCCATTTCGGCTCCAAGTCGCTGACCCGCTTTTGCGTGCTTGTGCAGGATACGGGACTTGGCTGTGTACAGTGGGACAGTCGACTGGTCCAAGGCATTGCAGGCCCGCTGCGCTGAATCGCCAGTAGATGAGATCAGCATGTCTATGTTGCTGAACCCCGAAGGCGTGTGCTGATGGCGAAAAGATGGCAGACAGCGACGTAGCCAAAAACGCTGCGCATTCTTTTGCAGCGACATGTCACCAAAGAATACGGCGAGCCTGTTGCCGTTGGAAGAAGGGTTGCACGTTGTCTTGGCTCCAGAGTAGCTTCAAAACCAGGAAACAGTGAGAGTCTCATCAGCAGGGAGGTGCTGCCATTCCTCAGATTCCTAAGATTCCTAGAAATTTCCTAGGGCCCGAAGAGTCCGAAAGCGTGCCGCTGTGCCCATTCGTGCCTGGCGCTTGCAGATGCACCTGTCTCGACCTTGACACAGGCCTTTGGGATAGGCTGAGTAGGTTGAGGCAGTTCATTCCAATTCATTCTCTGCGAGGGTCCATGGAGCTCCTGGGCGCGAAGGCAGCTGCAACAGAGGAGACAAGACTCATCCTGACTCCCAAGCCAGGCGCGATTCGCGTCTGCGATCATGCTTGTCCTGATCTGTGGCCTCACCATCTTGGTACGTGTTATCTTCCGACATTGCACAGGTCAATGCGTGCCCCTTCTGGAAGGAGCTCGTGCCGACGTCATTGTGACGTTCAACAGCCCCCGTGGCCGCAGAGAGAGAGAGAGAGGGAGAGAGATGTCTCATCGGACTTCGCGCGCCCCTGGGGCGGCTCTCCTCTTGCAGCCATGCGAGCAGAAGAGAGAGAGAGAGAGAGACGTCCATGCGACCTCTTGGGGTTGGGGTATGTGCCCGCTCTCAGTTCTGGTGAAGACCTGCCAAAACCTGCTCGGGTGTTCTTGGGCTCCCAGGGTGGTGGGGGGCCACAGGGGAACGGAGCGTGTTGAGTGTGGCCGGAGTAGTGCTACCGAAGACAAGAGCATCTCTATGAGTATTCTGTATGTGCAAGAATTTTTCCGAAGCACGGCATGTGAGCAGCCTCTCTTTGTACGACCTTTGCTGTGTCCGGGCTATTTTCTGTGCTGCTGGTAGAAAGCATGAGGGTCGAGTACCAATATCTGCATTTGAGGCGCCTTGCCTGGCGGCCTGGCTTTCTGGCTTGAGGACCGGTCTCTTCGGGGCCTTTGCTGCGACGGCTCTTGGTCTTCCTTGCCAGGTGGGCGGTGGCTCTCCCACGCCCATGAGCTGCTTCGACAAGGCGCGCTGTGAAGTGCAACACGGGCCTTGAGAAGGAACGAGATGCCCAGGTGCCCTCCGAGCCTCAAGTCTGGCACGGCGTGCCATCAGGTTGGATACTTTTTTGCTTGGGGGCATGCGCAGTTGTGGCCCGTGCATGTCAGGTGACCATCGCATCCGAGCCGTGCCGGCCACAGGATTGTTGTAGCATGGGGCTGTGTGGTGCCTCTACATGGGGCCCAATGGCTGCGCAATCTCTATTTGAGATCCGCAGGTGCTTTGGAAGGCTCCGTCAGGTTCGTCGGCGCAGCCCAAGTCGAAAGAGGCAAGGTCCACGAGTCACATTGGGGGGGGGGGGTTTGTCAAGCCGCAGGGCGCCAAAAGGGTCCACCATTTTTTTCCCGCAACCCCCCACCCCCCATCCCGTATGTCTTGTTCCAGCCATATTCCGATGTTCCACCGAACTTTTTCCGATATTCCCCTTCAGGAGCTCGAGGGAACCGGCCCTTTTGAAGTGGCACGGTCCGAGAGCGTGGAGCTCGTGGTACATCGCTTCGAAGACTTCAATCCCAGCTACGAGTTTCGGAAAGTGGAGCCGTGGCATCGGCTTCCAGAAGGCCAGCTGCGTTTCGGGTTTAGGGTTTAGGGTTTAGAGCATGTCACTGCATGTGTCACCATGCGACAGGGTGCCCGAGCCATGTTTAGTTTCAGATTGCTGCCAGGTCTTGAGATCTCCGTCAACTTGCAGGAAGGCGGTAGCCAAGCCCGGATTCCGCAACCATGGCAGTGGGACGTCCGAGTAGTCGGCCAAGAGGCTCGGCCCTCCCAGATGTCTGCAGATGCCCGCAGTGAGAATGATCGGGAGTGCCAGTCAACGTGACTTTGCGACTCCATGCGCTCAGGCGAGACAGCGCGTCCCGGTACGTGCCGAGACAACGATGTCCGACATCCTTGAAGTCCTTGGATTGTCTGATTCTACACATGAGGTGGCAGGAAGCTCAGCCTAGCTCAGCTTCAGGAGCCCCGGCTAGGAGAGCCAAGTGCCCAGAGCTGCCAAGTGCTGTGGAGATGGTGCCAGGTTTGGTGTCAGGATTCTGGCAAGCACGAGCGGGTGCTGCAGCCTGGCTGGACAGCTCTTCAGGCACCTGCAACTGGGTTTAGGGTTTAGGGTTGAGGGCTTTGGCTACAGGGGGGGGTCGAATCTCCACAACTTACTGAAAGCATCGTCACGACAGGCCGACCTCTTCAGGTATCAGAACCAGGTCTTCGTCCGTCGATTCGCAACTATGGTGGACTGATGTCTCCCCTCTTCACAGTGCAAGCTGAGCGAGTGCGAGCCTGCAGAGCACGGCACATCTGCACATCTGCACTAGTCTGCACCAGTCTGCACTAGTCTGCGCATCTGAGACGCATGGCGCTATATGGCGCTGCAGGGAGAAGTCGCCCAGTCCTCCGAGCTCCTCCCTGTGCTTCGAACTCTTTCAAAGCATTCGGAGATCTCCGGGTCTCCTGCTGCACGCATCGACGAGTGCCCAGCATGTGACCAAAATAGTCCCAAAATTGGCGGAACCCGCTTTCTGTGGCCCGGTTTCTTTCTCAGCCCCATGCCGCGGCTGCAAATCACGATCTATTGGCACGTACTGCGGCTCGAGCAGCTGGCACCTTGCTCGTCTTGCTCGTCTCGCCCCTGAGGAAAGTTCCAGGGATCGAGTAGTCGCCATGTCTCCTTCGGTGCATGGCGCGAACCAGATGGGCACGCATAGCGGCGGCTTGTCCTCCGTAGCCAAGAGAGAAACGCTTATTCGACCAGGCAGTTGCACTGTACCGGCAGTTTGAGTTGTCATAGGCCATCATAGTTTGCTGAGTCACCGAGTGATCTTGTTCAGACCATACTGAGATGTCAGTCCAGTGATGTCCAGTGTCGGCTCTGGCGAGCTTATCGCCTCCTGTGTCCGCTCAGGCAACGTGTTGGCCACAGGGAAGCCCGATACCCGACACCTTCACGACTTCGACAACTACGTCCTTGCCTCCCTACCGCCACCTTGCAAGCCCGATGCCGAGCTCGTGCTCGCGGACCTGCCGCTCGATGACGGAGTGCTCGGAGTGCATGGGGTGCTCGAGGACAGCGAGGAGGACATCGAGGACTTCGAGTCGCTGTCGCTGCTAAGCTGGGTGAGACAGCTACGAAGTCCTTCGACTTCCTCCTTGACACCTCGCTTCCAGGATGTTCCTTCAGGCACTTTCATAGCGCCAGATGGCCGAGCCCACTGGAGTCACGTGCTCAACATGAGCGAGTTCTGCCAGGACCTGACGAGCCACTCCAGCAAACCCTGCAAGCAAGGCTAGTAAGTACCTGCTGAAGGGCAAGCCTCTGCCAGCGAAACCCGGCCGAAAACCTGGCAGTTGAGCGCTCTTACCATCACTTCCTGAGGATCTTGTATTGGTGTCCGAGTTGAAAACAATCCTTGGAAACCTTTGGAAACCATATTTTTATTTACATATAGATTTATTTACATATAGGGTTTTTGCGAAGTGCAGGACGTAGCCGAGTGCCCGCCGAAGTTCAAGGATGCAGTTCTGAAACGTCGTCAGCGAGACTTGAGTCCGACTGGCCAGATGAAGACTAGATGCATTGCATTCTTATCACTCATCGTTTGAAGTGTGGGACACCATCGTCAGTTGATGTGATGTGTGTTCTGTACAGCTTGCGTGCTAGAGGTAGTGCAAGAATGCCACTCTTGTGATGCTCAACGATCGTGTACTTCATAACTTTTCTAGTCATGTGCTTTTATATTGTTGTCGTCATCATCAATGTTCTTACCAAGACAAGTGGGGCAACATCATTCTCCCAGTGGCATGTAATTAGTTGCAGCGGCCGCGGTCTGGAGGACCGTCTGGCGCTCCCGGGGTCATGTTGTATTGGACAGGCCCCAGCGTTGGTTTTCGTTGTCCTGCAGATGTCGCAGGTAGACAACGGGTATTTCAAGGTCTTCCCCTGTGTTTAGTACTTGGTCCACTCACGACTTGTATTTCGTCTGGGCCACTGTTGAGACAGGTCAAGGTCATCCTTCTTCCTGCTTCGGCATGGGATCAGGTTGGCTTTGGCTTAGCTGAGTGGTAAGGTAAATGCATGTAAATGCGTCCTGCAACCACACTTCAGCTAGACCGCTGTCAGACGCCAGTCAAGGCATTTCAAAAGTTATGCGTGCTCCGATGTGGAACTGAGTGCCTTGTCGACTCGATCAGCATGAAAGCAGCAAGATCTATGCAAGATGACTGCGTGTGTGGCAGACTCGACTGTGTAGCGTGTCTTACAATGCGAGTCTAGCAGTGAACGAAAGAGTGGCGTCTGTGTCGTGTGGTTCGGTGCCCTTTTTTGTGTAAGATGTGATGCTCCTTGAGGCTTCGTTTCCTGCTTCTACGATGGGGGTGGGGGGGATGACGAAGTTGTAGAATCTGTTCTTGTGCTGGATGTCTCAGGCCTCGGAGTACAATTTCGATGGCTAGGTAGAATTGAGCCGGCGACGCTGTAACCGTACAAGGCTTTTGAGGTTGGGACAAACCACGGCCTGCTCCACGCGGTCCACCTTTGGGGTCTGTGTCTTCGTATGCAAAGCCTCTGGTTTCCTGTTCAAGAACGAAGCGGGTTTTTGCGCCACGTTGTCCTTTGGCCTTACGGATGGGTTAGGGGCTTGTTTCCGCATCTCAGGTCAGGAGTATGTTAGGAAGCGGGCTAGCTTGTGGAGCAACACCACGCATTGCTACCCGGCGGATAAGCAAAAAAAAGGTTGCAGACATTTATCTTCGACAGGATCGGCGCCTTGCGGATGCGTGGGTTGTTCAGGCGGTCCGAGGTCAGGTAAAAGTAGTCCTCTTCCGTGACTTGTGGCATGAGAATAATGGGAGCGGCCCTTACTTTTGGTCGGCAACTCGCCGCGGAAGAGTGTCAAACTTGTAACAGCAAGGCTTTCTCGTGAGGCCGCTCTCGCATGCGGTCTGCTTCCTGCCGCAAGCCGCAGACGGAACAGCCCAGCCAAGAACTGATGCCCCATTTGAACATACCCCAGGCATCAGACGTCCGCAGGGGTTGCATTGTCCCAGTGCGCACTGGAGATCAGCAGGGTGAACACACCCATGGATGAAGACCCCACGAGACTCCACGGGTGCCAGGATTAATGGCACCGTGGTGGCTGGCCTGACAAGCTTCGCGCACTCAAGCGCACCTGCGGCTGCTTTGCACCCATCGCAGCTGAGCACCTCCTCCTGGTAGCCAATCAACTGCTGTATCTGCCAGACACCTTTCCGGCGTCGCACGTGCAAATGCATTCCCCGATCTTGCCCACGTGCGGAAGGCTAGAGGGCCTGACCTCCCGATGATCTTAGGGTCTCGAGCAGTTGGAACTTCGGAGTCTCATGAGTCCATCATCGGCTGTGGTCCTTGCGTCGGGACGACCAAGCGGTTCTTGTGCCGACGTCCAGGGAAGCGTAAAGGACCTCCAGTCCAGCACGTGGCAGTGACAGGCCGGGCCTTCTCCTTTCGAGGGCATCGAGGTGGCACATTGTGGCGAGGTAACTCCCTTGGCTCCAGAAAAGGATCGGGTCGGCTTGCAAAGGAGGCGTCGGATTACGCGACGAGCGAAAGGTCTTCTTGAGCGGTAGGAGTTGGAGTGACCTGCAAGCGTGGAGGTATGAACCTGGAGGTGGGGGCGTGTCTGGAGTGGCGGCCCACTCAGCCCAACAAGCGCTCTGAGTTTGGTCTTCTCTCGGTCGGTCAAGGCGGAGTGTGGGTCAGCGAGCCGGTGTTTTAGATTCAACGGGTGGAGCTTGGCAAGATACTTGGCTTGGTGCTCGGAAAGGGTCCACCCACGGTAGTCATCGGCGGCAAACAGTTCGTTCCACTCCTAAAACGAGAAGGCCTCCTTGGAGGTCATCAACATACAGGCCGATGATGCTGTAGAGGCGGAGAGTGCGATCATGCTCACGAGCTTGGAGAAAGGCGGTTGTCACATCACTGGTAAGACAGTCCACCGAAGGTTGGCCAAGACTGACAGAAGGGCCGCCGCACAGGTGAGGGTCGGGTGGGAGTGGTGCTGCCATGCTGCCGGTTTGCTTGTGGTACGAAATGGGCCATTCTGGATACCCCGAGAAGAAGCAAGAATTATGTAGCAGCGTCTTAAATTGGTCGCACGATCTTAAGAACGAGAAAAAAGCAAGATTGTATTTGCTTTCATTGACCCCTTGTTGTGCGCCTCGGGGGATTCATTTAGGGTTTAGCGGGTTCGGGGATGGGCCTCTCCAGGTAGATCGCGTTCTTGCGTGTTCAGTGCCTTGTTTGTGTAAGATGTGATGCTCGTTGAGGCTTCGTTTCCTGCTTCTATGATGGGGGGGAGGGTGATGAACTTGCAGAATCTGTTCTTGTGCTCAAGTTTTTGTTGGTCTCCAAGAAGACCATACGACTATCGTCGACTTTCTCGTTCACAAGCTCGAGCTGTTGGTCAGCGATGATAGTTTTGCGGCCAGGGCCCAGTTCTGCGCCGCCGAGAGGTTGCGAGGGCAGCAGCTCTTCGAGATCGAACGACTTCTGAGATTTTATGGAGGGCGCTAGTGAAACGTGGCCGTTGGGGTTCTGCCACCTCCAAGGCCAGTCTGATTAAAGTTCTCGCTTGCATCTCAGCACACAAGGATCTGAAAGATAGAAATCTTCTCCAGGCCACATCACTAAAAGTTGGACCAGGTAATACATGAAAAGATGCCCAAAAGAAGGATACAAATAATCGAGCTTCAGAAATTAGAAAACCAGAAAAAGAAGAACAAATATTATGACTAAGACTTCACATGTTTAGTGAATTCTCTTGATAACTCTCTAGACCAAATATGAAAACTATCGCTTTCGCTGTCGCTTTCGTTGGCACAGAGTCGGTTCGATGCAGCCTAGCATGCACTAACTAGGGTGAAACAGGCGAGAAGTGTCGGGGGCACCTCAAAGTTGGAAAGGCCAACGGAGCCACAGGTGGTGAACCGGAAAGGCGCAAAACGACATATGGCCCGAATGCCGACGCAATCAACATCCGGTAGAAGGAGAATGGCAGGGACACTGCGAGCCCAAAGAGCGAGGGTCAACCTCCCAACATCTGACAACAGTCGAAGGAGTTGCCGCTTCTTGCCTTTCGGCTGTAGAATTCTACCCTTTGATGAGAGCGCCTTCTCGCCCACTCTCACCCCTGGACCCCTTTTCTTGTAATCCATGTGCTGAGTTGGTCGACTTGGCTTGCTTTTGGTTCCAGCGGGTGGGCGTTGA